TCAGCAGGAGACGATAAACGATATTAAGATGCAAGCATTGAAGGACGTTCAGGTGATGACTGAAGGACAGGATGTACTGGAGCATGGTAGAAGTCTGCGGGGAAAATCCGCGAGAGCGATAGAATACCAGCTGATGACAGAGACCCTGAAGAACTTATCCAAGAGCCAGGAGTTGGCCGACATCCGAAAGTTCCAAAGGGAGACTGTGCATACTTTCTCAGACGACAAAACGCATGCTAGACAGATAGACAAAAGGACCAAGGTTCTGCTCGACGAGGATAAGCTGATGCAACCGCTTGATAGGCTTAGCAAAGAGCTGCGCGGATTTGAGCAGAAATCCAGCAATTATTTTCTAGATAAGAGGTACCGAGATCGGGCAAGGCGAGAGCTTTTAGATAAATGTCGAGGATGCGAGTATTATGTTAAACGTGCTAGATAGATAAGAGTTGTGTCTTTGCGAGTTCTTGCAGAGAAAATAGCACAGAAAAATTAAATATCTTAATTCTTAGGAAGATAGAAAATTCTTAGAAATGCGTGAAAAATTAAAATAAACGATTTCGATAAGCATTTCATTTTGTGTCTAGCAAGAATTTATCACTTTTATACTCCTTATATTTTAATACTTCCTTGTTCCATACAATTATACATATTTTTAATATTAATATTAATTTTCAAAAACAGAAAAATATTCCAAATAAAGGTTATTATTTTATTTCAAATTCTGATTCTCTTAAGTGATCGTGCAAAAATGAAGCAGCCAAAAATTAAATCCCAGGTTGGATAAGGTAAATTGATGAAAACTAAGAAATAATAAAAGTAGGAGAAAATATTAAAAAATACGGAATTGTTTGAATAATTAGGAATAACTAGTATAGTACTTAAGTGTAACTATAAAAAATTTCTAGCGCAATAGAAAAATTAAAAAATTTTTATCCAGATTGTTTAAATATTTGTCAATTAAAATTTGGAGGATAACAAAATTATTTGAGATGTTTACATCAAATGAAATTAATTAGCAAGCAGACCAGCATTGAAATCGAGCAGCTGAACGCCCGCGTGGTCGAAGCCGAGACGAAATTGAAGACCGAGGTCCAACGCGTAAAGAAGAAGCTCCAAATCCATATCACCGAGCTGGAATTGTCCCTGGATGTCGCCAACAAGAATAACATTGATCTGCAAAAGACCATTAAGAAGCAATCTCTCACTCTGACTGTAATATCAAAATTTATATTTGCTAACGCGTCGGAAATGTTGGCGATCGTATCACGTTGGATCATCTCGTTTTTCAGGAATTACAAGCTCATTACGATGAAGTACAGCGCCAATTGCAAGTGACCCTGGACCAACTGGGCATCAGTCAACGCCGCCTCCAATCATTGACGGCCGAGCTCGAGGACGTTCGCGGTAATTACGAATCTGTAAGTGTATGAGATTTATTTGCTGAATATTGATATGTTGACTTTCTTGAAAAAGATTAATTATATTACAATATGTTCGGAACGTTTAGTTTATCCTTTGGATAAGCAAAGGTACGAACAAACATAACTTATGTAAGCATTATGTAATGGGGCTGTATAAAGTGTAAAATTATATATTATGTCGAAAGGCTTTGCGTGCAAAGAGGACTGTCGAGCAACAATACGAAGAATCGGTCAGCCGCATCAACGAGTTGACCACGATCAATGTAAATATCGCTTCATTGAAGGCTAAACTCGAGCAAGAACTGACCACTTTGGCCGGAGATTATGAAGAAGTGACCAAGGAGTTGAGAGTCAGCGATGAGAGATACCAGAGAGTGCAGAACGAGTTCAAGCATACTGTCGAGATTCTTCATGAGGAACAAGAACGTATTGTCAAGATCGAGGCTATCAAGAAATCGTTGGAGATCGAAGTGAAGAATTTGTCCGTGAGATTGGAAGAGGTTGAGGCCAACGCTATTGTTGGAGGCAAGCGCATCATCAGCAAGCTTGAAGCTAGGGTAAGATTTCAAAAAATTTTTTCCCGTATTTAAGTTTTTGTAGTTTTTAACATAAATTTGTAACTAATAGTTTTTTTAACTTCTTTTAATATACGATTCAATCTTATGTAATAAAATAATAGTAATATTATGTTGTGTACGTATATCGAAGCATTTTTTAGTTTTCGTCAACAGTATTTTGTTGATGTGTAAATTCTACGTTTGCAATGTGTTAATTATTAATAAATGTCACTTTTACGATAACTTTCGCCGCTATAGATTCGTGATCTGGAACTCGAGTTGGACGAGGAAAAGCGCCGACACTCCGAGACTGTGAAAATCTTACGTAAGAAGGAGCGCAACATCAAGGAAGTAATGATCCAAGTTGAGGAGGACTCAAAGAATATTGCCTTACTACAAGAAGCGCTCGATAAGTCCAGTCAGAAGGTCAGCATCTACAAGAGGCAGCTGCAGGAGCAGGAGGGCATGTCCCAGCAGAGCGTCAGCAGGGTTCGCCGATTCCAAAGAGAACTTGAAGCAGCAGAAGATCGTGCCGACACCGCAGAGAGCAACTTGACCCTGATCCGCGCCAAACATCGCAGTTTTGTTACCACCTCAACTGTACCCGGTTCCCAAGTATACCTTGTCCAGGAAACGAGGCAGGAGATGTCCTAAACCATTACCGTCATCGCCAACATCTTTGCCACTTTGAACGTCGCGTCTTTATAAATGTATGTATAATGCAAAGACCATATGAGCGTGTTTAATGATTATAGAATAATTCAATTTTTTAATAATTCCTAATTAATCGTATAATTGAAAAGCGGAATTTATTGGCGACTGTATGAAATAAATAGACAAAAAAATTACATTTTTCAATTATTTCTAATCGAAATGAAAATTTCATTCCATGCTTATTTTTCACAGGCACCGTGAACACGCTATAACGAAAAAAAAGACGCGACATCAATCATCATAAGAGCTGAAAGTTTTCACGGTGTGTTATTTTCGAGGGATAAAAATTGGAGCAACCAGAATATACGCATAAATATATATATAAATGATGCAAGTGCAGTTATCAGCATATAACGACCCGTCATAATAAAAAAAAAAAAAATCGAAAATTGCTTCGTCAACGAAACACGCGATAAGTCGCAACGAAAATGTTAAAGTAAAGGGAAATTAACGCTCACTATTAAGGGATTTGCGCAAAGCATGAGAAACTCGAACTCGAGAAACAATATATCGTTCAATTATGCTATGAAAATAAATAACAAAGTTAACGATCTTCTCGTCCCAATTATGTAAGTATAATCGAGCGTAAGGGCAGAGAAAACGGATAAGGAACATGAGAGGAGAGCAATGGCAATTTATGTCATTTCTATTCGCGCGTGTCGCAATTGTATTTAAATGGGATAACTTTAAATCTCTCTATTCTATTATTACATATAGATAGGTAACTATTACCCATATACACAACTCTCACTGTACAACATACCAATAACCTGTGTCAACATTAATTTAATAAATAAAGTGAAACGCGTACGTACGAAGATGTTTGTGTGTTTCATTTAATATGTTTCTCAAACGTACATTATCCTAAAAACTTTATCAGTAAAGCTTTAATATAATGAATATCTCGACTTGATCGTCGAGAATTTATCTCACATTATATACATATATTAAAATTATTAAAATATTTCCATATTTTTCTATTATTCCAATTTTATTATAAAAATAACGTATTTCAATTATTAATTGTAAAATATATAAAATGCGAAGGGGAAAGCTCCAAGGAATAAACAAAGAGATACATTAAAGTAAATTTAATTTATTCGAGCTAATTTTTTATTTTCGGACCACTATGGCGTTTATTAGTAGGATCCGTTTAGAAAAGCCAGATTTGTGAAACCCAAAACGTATGAGAGTTTTTATTTCTAATCATGTACCTGTAAAATCGTTAAATCTATTTTATCGAATTTTTCTTGCGTTGAATGATTAGAAAAATGTTGTACGATAAAATGCCGATAAATCTCATCTCATACATTGGGCTCCAACAATCTCGCGTTCCCAATTACAAATCAGAAGTTAATAATAATTAATAACATTAGGTACGTATATCTATTAACAATATTAAGATTCATCCACACCGCCAGGCACGCTTTATACAGCGGCAGCAATTAATTAATTGATTAAACAAGTCACCGGTTTCTATTTTATAAATCGTAGAAAATTCGATTCTAATGAAAAATGAACGCGTAAAAAGTCGCAGAACGACGTATTGTTCGTTCATTATTAACGAAGAAACGTAGAACGATCTCGATAGAGCTGATTGTTGTATTTGAGTCACGAGACATGCGAGATACGATATTGCGATAATTATAGAAAACGGTAACTCATGGGATCATCGGTGCTTTCGCATGTTCGTGACTTGTATTAACACTATAGATCATTTCACTTCGAGAAGAATAAGTATTTCAGTCTTTCGAATATATACCCAATCGAAAAACTTTTTAGCAAAAAATATAATCATAGAAAGAGTTGCTGCTCTCCATATTCTCGTTTTTCAGTTACAGTTTTGTAATTTGCGACTTTTATATATTTTATTTTTATTATAATCAATATGCATTCTGCAATATCCGATGTTTCAAACAACTCAGCTCGATATAGATTTCATTCCATGATAAATCTCGCTTTGTATTAACGTTGGAACTTTTTGACTTGTTATTTCTTTATTTCTATTATAATATGAGCCGACAACATTTCGCAAATTTCTTCTATTTCAAGATAAACTTTTTACAGCAACAACCTTCTGTGACATAATGGTATATTAATCACGGTATATTTAAAGGCAGATGGAAAAAATAGAAGAGACGCGACATACTCGTTACAAACATTACGAGTAATTACAGAAAAAACTATATCATTCACCAACTCACCCACCCGTTATTACGAAAATTACAAGTGCTCGTTCTATCATTATATATAAGTTGTCGATAAACATTTACACCATTATGTACAGAGTATTATACAATAAAATGAGAAACACAGAATAAAAATGATGATATAATAATGATGATTAATAAATCATCGATAATAATATTAATATTTTATACATGTGTGTGTGGGGGAGAGGGTGTATGTGTATATATAAATATATATATATATATATATATATATATATATACATACATATACATACATCCTCTATCTAAGTTAATAACATAATTCAAAAGAAATAAAGAATTTATCATGAATATAAGCAATTTAATCTTTCCCGTTTTGTGTTTTAATTTTTATTTGCATCAAATAGTGCAAGAGACCAGCGAAATAATAATTCATAATTTAAATTAATATTCAAAATGGAGGAGACAATAAATTAGCAAAGTTATAACAAACTTTTCCGATATATTTAAAATTTCACATATAACGCAACTATACTTTTACCTGATTAAACAAATACTCGAAATTATATGTATAATCCATTTAACAAAGTTGTATAAACTGATTTTTTGAATACAAATAACGCTATAAAAACAACACAAAAATTAATAAAACAAGATAAACTACAAATAAAATATTGTAATTATGATTAGACACATTTGTTTAAGGTTATGAAGAAAAATATATAAAATAAAAGTTGTTTCTTTAAAGGTCTTACAATAATCGTTCAAAATTCGCAACATCTCTTCTAAACCAAATAAAAAATATTTTTGGTCTATAAATCTTCAGCAATCAGCAATGATTATTCATATAACATATAATGCGTAATGTCATCGATTAAAAAATCGCACTGTTCTGATCGAATGATTACAAATAATCATTTTTTAATTATAAGACTCAATAATTTGTCATTAGACTAATTACCGTATAATTTTTATCTATCAAAATAAAAATATCTTTTTACAAATAAAAATACAAGAAATAAAATTTCTTTTCTTCATTGTAAAATATAATAAACACCCTACTTATAAATTATAAATAGCAATAAAATGTGGCAAAACGGCTGGTGTTAACATATTGACAATTACTATGTTTTATACATCTAATTCTCTTATTTGTAAAAAAAAATAAAAACATTTGCGAAGCTAGATTTTATAAATACAGCCGTATTACACAGCAAACAAGACAGAAGTAAAGCAATTAGCATAGTATTAATATCGATTCTGTAACTCTCCGATTTTTTTTCTGCCATATATATATAAAATAGGATATCTCTAATATACTTAATATAGCTCTTTTCCCCCTAAAATGTATATACACATGCACCTAATATATAAAATATCTATAATACACCTAATATAAAGTATCAGGACAATGCGACTTTCTCCGATAACATGTTTCTCCTTTTCTCACCGGTAATCATTATAAACACTGGTATCTAAAGCGTAAAACAAAATAGACGGTGAATCGTCTTAAAGGTACCAAGTTTCTTTCCCTCTAGCGGAATCGATACGCGCATTAATTGCCGCGTGTGCAATGTTCTCTTCTAATTTATTGTTACTCTTTTGTACAAGTATGTATGGGGAGGAGGGAGGAAAGGAGGTTTAAACAGTAAGGGGCGGAAAAGGCAGAGGATGAAATATCATTTGGCAGTTCGGCATTTGTCGGATATAAGTCAGACTGTTCGACGGTTCGGCGACCCAGTTGCAATCTCGATAGTACAATTAATTATCAAGAAGAGATCAGGAGTGACATTGATATCGTCGCCCGGAAATATAGCTGGCGATGGATATGAATGTGTGTAAAGAGGAAAAATATCTTTTTGAATAACATTCAAGTATATCGACTCGAATTAATATTATGATTCGATTTAGTTTTTGAATCTTCTTTATGTGTTGGATGTGTATTTTCCGCTAAATATACGTGTGAATTAAAAGAAATTTGTGTCCTGTAGGGATTTATATTTTGTGATATCTAATCCTTAAGCCTGAAACTTAGATTTAACGTTCATAAAACGTATGAAACTTTTAACACGCGTGAATTTATGTTGAAGATATTTTTCCTTATTTAAGAGCGAATGCAGCTCGCTGTGGAAATAAAATGTATATTACTATTTTATTTCTTTCTCTCGTTTTAGTTAATACTCGGTCAGGTATTGGCACAGAGAGTTGTACTAGCAGTATATGGAAACAGCTGCGGGGGACATATCGAGCTTGCGACGTTTCATCGACAGATCTGTGTACATCGAGAGTACACAGTATGTTAAAAACGTCACCGCCATATTTCATCAATGCACGGACTATCGTTATTTACGTATGATAAATTAACCTACATGTCATAACAGGAATGTATGGGAGCGAGCAAAGAAATGAGACTCCGCTTTCGGAGCAACAGTTCGTTAGAACCCGCACGATGTACACGCATAATATCACCGGTCATTATTATGCTTCCGGTTTGTAGTCGAATTAAGAAAACATTCTTTACGTATAAACTTCTGTTTGTTAAGTCTAGTATAAAGTTTAGGATAAAGATCAAGTTCAAAAATTTCTCAAGAATATAAACCCTCGCCCTCGAGACCTCGTACTTATCCTTAAAAAAAAAAGTTAGGAAATATATAGAAAATATCTAACTACTTTTAAGACAGCTCAGTCTTACTTGTATTTCCGCAATGACTGAAAATATGAAATAGGAAATTATTAAACTGATTTCGAGAGAGATGACAAGATATGAAAAGGAATAAAACAAGGTACAAATGAGAAAAAAAGGGTAAGCTTACAATACCGATAGAAAAATTAAAGATTTTCGATTCAATAATGTAGATTCGTCTAATAACAATAAATGAAAATCAAATTCAGAACATCGAGAAATCAGCATAATTATTTTGTCAATCAAAAATAATCGGAAAACATTGACTTCTAACTTCAAATTAAAGAGCATATAAACAAAACTATCCTGTGTTAGGATCACGATTAACTTGAAGATAAAAGAATAAAAGTGAATGTCTCTGATTTCAATCTTAATTAATCAGTATCTATTAATCGAATATTAATCGAACATTAGATTTTCAGTCTTTTAGTGAATTGCGATCCGCGACGAGCATGTGTCAAGTCACTCCATTACAATCGAATCATGCGATTCGTTGCTTTTGTCTCATCTTACCTGCCAGAAAAAAACATTTCCTGAATAATAATGGACGACTTGAGTTTTAGAGATACATTTTGTCTATCTATCTCCATTTACATTGAAGTACGGATTGTTCTTAATTTGCAGTTCAAAAATATGTTAAATAATAATAGCGTTGTATACAATTTCAAAACATATTTGATTACAATAATATTTATAAGAATATGTAAAATAATATTAGCAATATTAGCAAAGGTAAAATATACACACGTATGCACGTACGTACATATACACATATATAGATACGTATATAATTTTCAGAAATTAATAAGAATAATATATTCTTAGAGAATCTGTTAAAATTAATTTTTTTTTGTTATAGCTACTTTGTTTCTTTATTAAAGAATTTAAAATTTATATATTTATTAAAAGATATGTATGATTCATATTAGAGAGATGGTGGTTCATATTAGATTACATTAGTTATATTATTAAATTAAGAACTATCTGCACCGATTTATATAAAGAGCTAAATATATATAATATAAAGCACGCGTCCATACATATGAAACTATTGCAACTGGGTCGGAACATTGCGACATGTAAAAACGGAAGAGGAAAATTAGCATGACGTTCAATCGACGTCATCGGTAAAAAACAATATAAAAATACGATTATATGGTCGAAGGATCCTCCGTTCTTTCTCCTATAATATAATAATAATTGTAACTTCGCAGACTTTTACTTTGACTATTGGATGACGCAGATTCTTATTTTCCTGTGTTCTCTCTTCTGGATTCTCTTATATTTCACGTAACATTACTCACCTGCTTTCTTTCATTCCAAATAAATCGCTTTCCATATTTCTTTCTCTCTTCGTCCGAAGTATACACTATACATTATTACCGATATAATCAATTATTCGTGGAAGAAGAGAAGAATCTGCTCTATTCTTCGCGAATAAACAAGTAAGGAGAAACAATCTCTCCTCTTCCTCGTCGATAATTATATAATTATGTTTCGCAGAGAGGCATTCCGCGTATGCATATTCGTCACATTCTCTCAATCTCGCAGTATACCAAATTTATATACCTATCTCGAGCACTACGATTGCTTTTCAACTCACTGAAATACAGCGCGTAAATATATATGTGAAGTTTATGTGACACTTTCTTTAGACTCCAAATTAATTTTTTTTTAAATGTATAAAATAGCATTCAGCAAAGCTTTTTTTTTAAACCGATATAACGCATACATTAATACAATTCAATGGAAATAATCCAAAAAACTCTTAAACGTGGTTATACCAGAAAAAACCAACTGAAAATACTTTTTTTTTATTATAACAAAATATTTTTATATTATTTTTATATCAGTTTGTAATAAGAGTAAGAATAAAATTTTATCACATGCATAAATTAAAAAATTAATAAATTTTATTTACTTCAAACAAACTAAAGTGCTTTTAGAGATCTTATCTTGTTCTTGTTATTGAAATTTATTATACACCATATTTTTACATTAAAATTTTCTTAATTTTTTCTTAATGTTTGATATATACAAAAAACTATTATAGTATAATCCATTATAAAAAAATGCGTTGTTAAAACTGATATAGCAACATATTTAATAAATTATTTGGAAAAAGCACAAATTATATTTATTTTATTCCAGTTGGTTCCTTCTTGCCTATAATTACGTACGCTCTAATATATTCTTCGTCTAATATATTTAATTAAAATGTTCATCTTCGCTATATTTCATCTCTTTCTTTCTTCCACGCAAAAAAATAAATTTCCGAAAAAATATAGATTTTTCAACGATTCTCTTTTTATCAAATTTCTTTTCTCGCTTCTTCTTCTCTTTTTCGTATCAGTCCTAGTCCAACTCCAATTTAATTCTCGCACGCTTCTCATATACTCGTGTTCCTTTCATGCCACGATACACGTGCTCTTGAATTTAACTCCAATTTCAACCTTTTTGCGTCATAAAGAAAACATACTTCGAAAGTCTCGCTGTATCCCATTGCGCCTCGCATCATCTTTCGTGTGATTACGCAAAAATATTCGTTTTGAGCAAAACATTCGGTTTCATGTCTACTATACTAAGAGTATAAGTATAGGGTCGATAAATAAAACCGGACAATGCGCCAAAGTTCCACACATAGGACTTTACAGGAAGATGGACATTCTTATTAGCAATCCTGGCAGTTTCCAGGTCCACAATTTTGTCGATACACGCTTTCATCAATGAATTTTTTGTTTTCGACAAAAAAGTATATTGCTTCATCCAAACTATCCAAATTTAATGAATGCCATCGTCCATGTCGATTGTTCGGTTTTTCTATCCACCCTATATAATCATTTAAATCGACGAAGTCGGCACTCTTTTCGAAAGGAAGGCAAACCAAAAGATATGCATATTTCTTTTGTGACATGTTGTATGGTATATGCTCCCAGTCTCTGCACGCATTGGTAAAATAGCGAATTTCTACGGTAAATTTTCGAAACTAATACAGTAAACTGTTATCCCGTTGTAAAGGCCTTTCTTACGCATATGCTCTATCAACGCGTTCAATCGTAGCTGAGGCTGATACGTTTAAATCTCATGCAATATCCCAATGATTATTTCCGATGAGTCGTACTCGTGCGAATGTGTCAAACATCTCATTGAAGTAATTTATTTACGCGTGACTTGATGCGAGACACTACCGTGTCTCCTGACAAAATCGCCCAAACAAAAATGAATAGTTCGGTTAATCGAATCGATTATATTCTACTAACGCAAATATGTATAATATATAATTATATATATATACGTATGTGTATACATATTAATATATAAATCTATTGTTACTCATTAGTATTAATTAATAAACATTGCTATATAATAAATTTGTATACTTCATTATTTAGTATTTTCATACTCATTAGTATTATTGTAATAAATATGCAGCAGAGTGTGCGTGCATGTGTAAATTTGTGCGACGCGTAACCGAACGATCGCTCGATTAACCGAACGGCGCGATTTTTTATTAATCCGTTCGCTTGAGTGACTGATCATCGGGATTAAAGTAATCAAGTTTTTTCTTACTGTTTGCTATCAGTCGTCCAAATCGACCGACACGCTTGAAAATTCGTTCCATTTTTTCTGCTCACAACTTGCCGCAGAGAGCCCAACTTGATATTATACCAATTATATTCGTACAATATTCTTACTCGAAAATCGAGATCAATCTCGCATAAAGGAATCCTATAACTATAGTCGGTCTTTTTTTCGTGCTATTCCTCGGATTAACTCTCGGAGAATATCTCTTCACGCTATCGAAAGTTCTATTCTATTGCATCAAAGTTTTCGACAGCAACATATCAATCGAAATTTTTCACGCATACATACCAATCGATTTTTTAGTAACTCTTCTGTCGAAGAGCTTTCCGGTGAAAGCTTAATCTACTTCAGGTCCTCCATTGCGCCATAATTAGCAAGCGATTTCTTGATCCTGAGTGCGGTCAGTCTGGCGGCAGCGTTATGGTACCAACATTCCTTCATTACCTTCGACATTACCTGCAATGCCTAAATAAATAAAACAAATCGTCAATTAATTATCAATTTAATTTTACATCATATAAAGATAATTAATTAATAAGTTCTTTATACATATAGCTAAAATGTTAATTGTAGTTTTAAGACGTATGGATAAACATACGTACGCAAATAATCAAATACAAAAAATTATCATTTAAAGATTAAATCAATATGATTGATAATTTATTTTCCTATGCGCAGAATAGTTTTATGGGCAAAGGACTATTTATTTAATGTACATTTAAATTATTTTTTTCGCCTCGATACTTACTTCGATTGACTGCCATCGATTCGGTATCGATGGCCGTTGTCGGTCCATACACACAACTTTCCGCATTTCCTCGATAGTTGGATCGGAAGGCACCAAATCATAAAAGGGCAGCTGATACTCATCGTGAATCCCGCCGACATTGCAACGCCTAGCGATCTCCCAAAGGATCAGGCCGAGCGCGTACACATCAGCCCTCTTGAACGAGTCAAAGTGGTTCATGTTTATCGTCTCTTCAAGAACCTGAAAGCAGAAAACGTTTGCACGAGTTACTGAAGAGCTGTTTTCCTGATCGAGTGTGCAGGTCCACTCGAATTATCTTCGCTGATAATTATTATCTTTCCATGTATTTTTACCGAAAATTACTTTACTCTTAAGTATCTCTGTCAATAAAAAGAATTATATTCTTATCTACCTAAAATTATATACAATTTTACTACTGTTTCTCATTACCTTTTAAAAAAAAAAGAGATAAATTGATGACCAAAATTTAAAAAAATTATAGATCAAATTTTATCTAATCCAGATTAGTTATTAAAAAATAAATTAAATAATTGGTAAAATATTTCAATAAATAAAAATAATAAAAATTCAATGTTCTTATCAGTGTAATGTATACTGCCTATAAATATTATTAACTTTGATTAGTATTTATTATTATAATCGTTATAATTAAAATTAAAATTTTTTTGCTTTTCTCGAAAATAGGAAATATAATTTATACCTAGAACCAAAGAAATAACTTTCACATAACAACGATAATTACCTCAGGCGCCATGTATCGCTTCGTGCCGACTCTGTTGTTGAGCTGAATGTCGACGGTATCCGTGATTACGTCGTGCCTGACGGCTAATCCGAGATCGCCTATGGCGCAGGTACCATTAGTCTTCACAAGGATATTTTTTGACTTCAGGTCCCGGTGAGCGATTGCCGGCTTGCCTTGCGTGCCGACTATTTCCATGTGAAGATGCGCCAAGCCGGTAGCGATCGACAAGGCCATTCTTATCATACCGTTCGTGTCGACGGTTGATCTGTTGAGGTAATCGAAGAGCGAGCCCTTCTCGTGATAATCCGTTATCAGCCACAACTGTGTCCACGTACCGTTATCTACAAAAAAAGAAAAAAGACAGATTGGTCAATCCACGATTTATTCTAGAGATTTAACTTAATTGCTGTGGCTTTTAAAAGCTGCATAAAGCTTTTAAAAGATGATAAAATATGTAATAAAAATAGATAGAGAACGTATCCATATTTCATGTAATCCGACTTTCTATCCATTTGAAATGTCTCTATAAATAAAATGTTTTTAGTCAAATATTATTCCGATATTTTTTCTTATAGTCATTTAATAAGACAGAATTTACTGCATCTATTAATAATAAAAGACTATTACGTTCTTAATTATTAAGATTTTGAAACAAGACACAACACGCGATTCTGATTAATAAATTATTTTTAAAATTAATATAAATAACAACAAAATATACAATGTTTAACAGACACGTTGTAAAGGCATTAAATTACGTTTCTACTTTTTCGAGATTTTACCAAATTTAAATTTAAATGTAGATAGAGGAAATGCAATACCTTTATTATCGGCAGCGATAAAACCTAAAATGTTGTCATGCCTCAACATCACCGTCTGATAGATCTCCGCTTCCCGAAACCAGGATCTCTCCTCCCGCGAACTAAAGATTTTCACGGCGACGTTTTCGCCGCGCCAACGACCGCGCCAAACCTCGCCGAAGCGACCCTTTCCGATCGTCTCCACGAGCTGAATCTGGCGCGCTATGCTCCGTTGTACCAGAAGCGGCAGGCCTACTTGAGAGAGAATGGGCATTGGAGAACGTAAATTTCAGTATGATTGAAGATGAGTCACGCGTCGCGTTGTTAGTGGATCATATTTCGAGAGACGAATAAATTAAACACGCATATGTGGCAAATACAACAGCGACTTTATATAAAATACATTAGCAAACAAATCAAACATTATAATGATTTATTGATTTAAATTTCGCGAATTCAGTAATTAAAATTTTTAATTTTTAATATGGCAGACTCATATGCGCGTTACATGTTAAGTATATAATATTATATCTATGAGACAAATATATTAAATGCCTTTAGGAAAAAAAAAGCCAAAAAAAAAATTTTTTCAATATTATAAAAAAACAATACATATTTTTATTTATTATAAATTATTTTGTTTATGTATAATTATCAATTATATATTTAACAATCAAGAAATTGATAAAATTATAATAAATATTAAATCATTTTTGCTTATATATAAAATCTCAATAATTTTTTAGAATTACATAAAGTAAATTTATGTAAAAAATTAATATTTTATGTTCACAAATACAGACGCACGCACGTACACAATTTGATATATTTGCTAAGGAAGCAACAAAGATAAATGGCTGTAATCAAGAAGTTATATTTAAAAATCAAGCTCGCCATTTTCAATAACATAAATTGTTTATATTCATTATTTTCTGAATAATTATTGATAAATGTATGCTCATATAATGTAAAATACCAAGCATATTCCCATGAGAAAATTTCTATCAAAGTAACTCCGTAAAGATTCAAAGGTTTACTATTGCCTTTTAAAATTATCATTCAATCACCAAATGACCAACTTTAATTTAGTTTGACCTACCCGAGCCGCTACCGCTTGTAGTCATCTCCAACATGTCCCTGATGGTGACGCCGCCCAGAATCGGCCGGTCCGGAGCCTCCAGCGAATCGTCCGGGAAGTGTCTGGCCGGTCTCTTTTTGGTCATGTGTATGTGATAGATGACCATAACGATCACGCAGATCGCGCATATTGGCAGTGCTATCGTCAAGGCCATTTTCCAGGTGACCCACGTCGCATCGTCACCGCTCGACGACACTTTTGGTAAGATATGTCCGGTTATTATTTTTGTATGTGGGAAGCACCGACGGAGAAATGTTAATTTCAACCGTGATGCACCATGCTCAAATAATGCCGTATTCCATACGTCATTATGCCAGCGGTATTCAACTCCGTGACACGCATACTCCCGGATGCATGCCGCATACTGTGTCTCAAGGTTTGCGGGCAAATTGCATGGATGCAAAAAATTGTCTTAAATGCAGCTCCGTTATGTAATATAGCAAAAAACTTGTGATTCTTCACATGTTGCCCACTTTTGTCAACGATTACACGGTATTATCTGCGACAAATTATTTTTTTTCTTTTTTTTTTTTTTTTAATAAAAAAAGTTGAATACCACTGATTTTAAAAGCAAAAAACTTCGTAGGAGTACATTGATCGGGATCAGTATTGCATCGTTAATTCGAAAGCAAGCAAGCACAAGCAGATTTCCAGGAGAGAAAGCCTAAAGATGTAGGCGTCCAGCGAAAAGCAAAAACATGCAAAGACAGATATGCAACAAAATGCTAGCAAAATGAAGAGCATAAAGCGATCTCACAGTGTCAATAGCGGTTAAAACAAATACATTCAAGAGGGACTTAATGCAATGGGGACAAGATTTTGAGCAATTTTTATACAGATTATTTCACCAATAACTTGATTCATGGCTGAACCTCTGACAGAAAAAACCTTTGGCTGAAAAAAAAATCAGAAATCTATTCAAAAATCGGTCGTGTGCACAAACGTACGATAGCGCCTTGATAATTTACCATTATCTTAATTGTTAATTTCAAATTTGAATTTAATACGGATCTTGCAAGGTAAACCAAGTAAGTTTTTTTAGCAATCTTGAGTCTTATATTTTTATGGACTTTTGACAGATATTAATGGTGCAAACTATGAACACACAAAAACAATCGTTTATCGCGGTTTTTATCTTCATTTATGCTCGGAACAGACATGTTTTGTTCACTGAAGCGCTGATCGCAGAATCTCTAAGTGTTAAATTCGTAATAGTAATCTCTTATTATACGTGATACGTCATGATAGATTGTATTATAGATAAGACGTTTTTTCAATGCGTTTTATCGAGACGTTTGCAGCACGTTGAGCACATACTTGGACTTACCTGTGAGTCGTGAAGTTGAAGAACGCCAAGAACTTCTTTCGAAGCATACAAATGCTGTTAATCGGTCACTCATTGAAAACCCATACAAACGGTAAGTGAAAATAATGTTGAACAACATCCGAAAGAGCTAATCAAATCGTCATGATATAACATCAAATAAGAAACAATTTAAAAATAATCCAATATTTAAAATTCACAATATAAAATAAATCAGAAGATTCGCAGATTCCCGAAAGAATTAATTTATGAAAAAGTATATTTATAAATATATGTATACAAAATATTTCATAGAGATAAAGCGTAAATATCGTATATTTAGTGTATTTCTCAATAAATTTTGGTGATTTATACAGGGTCAATAATTATATAAAATATATATGTAAAAAAGTATATAGATAATAAAAATATTTAATATATAAGTTTAAAAAATTGCCACAATAATGTTTTATAAGTAAATTTCCGCCAAGAAAAATTATTATTAAAAACAATGCGCGCCTCTAAAATTAATTATATTAATTATAAAACTTTTCGTATGTATAAATAATTAAACCCTATATATTCGTGCAATATAAATTAATAACTTTTCTCTAACGTTGTTAAAACTCTCAAAAAGCCGTTCTCGTGTTAAAATGATTAATGTAGAGACATATAAAGATATATCACTCCGCAGGATGTAAGGATTGGAAATGATAAAATTCGAATAAATTAAAGCAAACAACTATGATTCATCGTGGAATCGAACAGCCGGAAAATTCAATTGGTAGGATTATCTGTGAATATGCAGGTAGAATCACGATATAATTGAATATGGATTCCTATGAAGATTTCAATGCGATGTGACAGGCAACATAGCGATTTCACTGATGGATGATCGCACGTCCAACGATGATTTTCCCAAATCATGAGACAATGAGAGATAATATAAGATGTGCACCTTGCTGACATTATAAAAAAGTATCGTTCGCAAAAATATGTCTCTTAAATAAAAATTTTTGTAGTCGGCTGTTTCGTTGCATAATGTTTATAAGTTCTTGCATACAATCAACAGACTCGTAGAAGTGCATGATAATTATAAGAATCAAAAGATATTTTCCATATAAAATATTTTGGATCTTTTAATTTGTAGATGACTATTTTTTCTGAAAGTGTTACATTTCTAATAGAAATTTTGTATTTTTTTCAAGAGATGTGTAATTTCATATAAATATTTTATATTAAGGATAGCCATATATGACTATAATTAAACATTTATTTCAATAATATTTTTTAATAAAAGAAACGTATTACAAAATGCTAAATATTAAAATAAAAAAATTCGATTAATACATATATTCTTTCAAGATTATTTCGTTGTAGTTTAATGGGTGTATTGAATTATCACCAAATTTGACAGAGATTTGTTATCATTCTTAAAATATTTCGAACTTCAAAAATATATAATACATGAAAAATATGAGATCGCTTATTAACTAACTAGAACGTCACACATAACTCTTTCATACTCAATTTTTACTTGAACTCATTTAAAAATGAAAATACTTCTTAATGATATATGAAAAACATCAAAAAAAAAAAAAAAATATAT